CCAGAATCCACTCGCCATGTCGAGACTCATAAACCACATTGCAGACTTGAAATCTACCAACAGGTCATCGATCAGAGGTAGAGGGTAACGGGATAGCTTAATAAGCAAGTTCAGAAGCCGGTAATCAATACACATCCGGATGTCTATGCCGTTTTTCTTCAGCACAATGACAATAGGAGATGACCACTCGGACTCTGAATGCTCAATGAACTCAGCCTCCAGCAACTTCTTCAGGAGTTCAAACACGTTCACCAAAAATAGTGCGGCAATCTGTCTCGCACGTAAAGCCACTGGTTTTGCTTCACCAACGTCGATATCACACACTACGCCCCTAGCCGGGGCTGGAGCTGCATTGCCGTCTCCCAGGAAGATGCTGCGGTGGCGTTTCAGGATCTCCCTCATCTTGGCTTCCATCTCTAGAGTTGTGACTCCCGGAACTCCGACATTAGCTTCATCGATGTTGCATTCTGGAGTCAGTTCCTCGATTTCTGGGAGCATGATGAGTTGGTCTCTCAACTGCGCCATCAAATCACTTCCTTCCCTGAGATATACGGCAGGTTCCAGGTCCAGTTCTTCGGCAGAGACTCGCATTACCCGAGCATATTCTGCCTCCAGCCTTTGGACCGGTGTCGAACCACCTCATCTGTGACTGGGCGTCCACTGACGGTTCAGGGACCTGAGCGTCCTCCTCGACATCTGCCATACTCTCTGGGTCCAGAGTCTCAACTTCTGGACTCGAGTCAGGATGGGTCTGTTCTGCTGGCTCAGGACGAGTCTCAGGCTCCTCGGGGTCTTCCGCGACCGTGTTCATGACGACCGCGGACTTCCCAATGATCTTGAGTGGCATGTCCAATGTGTTTCGGCCTTTCTTGCAACTTTACCATCTTCACTTCAGCGACTTGGGACTGTGGACGCATCAAGAGCTTAGTAGGCCACTGATATCTCTGAGTCTGGGTGCACGGAGGCTCCCTTTCCCTGAGAATCTGCTCTAACCGCTCAGCTCGCATCCTTGCTTGGCGCGACACGGTACACTCATGGATTAATTGTTG